CTTCCGATTTGATTTGAAACTGTCTCATTGCTATCTGTTTATCAATAAAATTTTCAAAAAAAAAAAAAAAGAAAATACTCAGAAGAGGAATAGTTAGGTCAAATGAGACCTCTAGTCCCATTTTTTTAGTTTACACATTTGGTACAGGGTCTCACTATGCAGCTCAGACTCGCAGTGATCCTCCTGTTTTCAGCATCCCAGTGCTGGGATTACAGGCGTGCACCACCATGCCTGGTCTCAGTGGCTGGCTCAGCATGTCCGGAGGCGGGGCCAGCACAGCATGTGGTACAGGGATGGAATCCCAGTGCCTAAGCTTGCCTAAGCAGGTGCTTAATCCACTGAGCTATCTCTTCCAGCTCTCTGGTCCTAATTGTTTGAGAGAGAAAGACAAAAATGAGTGGTGAGTCCTCCACTGTTTATGGGTTGCAGCACTTAATAGTATTAAGATAGCAAAACTTGCCAAATTGCTTCATATATTCAAAGCAATATTTATCAAAACTCCAGCTTGCATTTTGGGGGAATTGGAGTGTTGCTCCTGTATTACTTAAAAATTTGACATAATACAGGATGTCCAGAGATTGGACCAAAAAAAAAAAGAGAGAGAGAAAGATTTTAAACAAAGACAAAGTTGAAAACTTAGAGTATATGCCACAATTTCAAAAATAACTACAAATACAGCAATGTGTTCCTGACACCAGATTAGACTTAAACAAATGACATAGAATTGAGTGTCCAGGAGTACTTTATAACATTTGTAGGCCAGTGATATTTGAAGAAGATACCACAAAGATCAATGTAAAGAGATAAGTATTTTTTTTTCAAAATTAAAAACTTTATGCTTCAACTCACATCATCAGGAAAATAGACAACCTTCAGAGAGGTTAAAATAATTTACAAATAATGTGTACAATTGGGGTCTCACATTCAGATTACATGAAGAATACATTACTGTGAATGAGACTGGGTGTGGTGCTGCCCACATGCAATCCCAGTGCTCAGGAGGCTGACAAGAGGAGAATTTCTATGAGTCTGGTATGTGTGGTGAGACCCTGTAGACCCTGTACTAAATAAAATAAAAAAGGAATACAACACACATGTAAAGAGCTACACTTCTTGCTTGGAAAGCCTACTGTAAATTCTGTAGTTCCCAAGTCACTTGGGATGGATGCAATAACAGACACTGGTAGGTGGGGAAGAATTTGGAGTTCAGAAATAAGCACCCATATTGATGGTCAATCAATTATTGACAAAGGCAGAAGGCATTTCCTTGGGGAATTTCCAAAATACATTATGAAAACATGAGATTTTTTTTAAAAGTAATGTTGGAAGTTACTCACAAAAATTGAGAAAAAACATGGAAAAAATAACTTCAGGAATTGTAAATTTCAAGAAATTGTTTCATTTCATGAGGAAATCTTTCAAGAAATACCTGGAACAATAAAGTATTATTGTTCTAGTCTCTTTCTCCTATTCTCCATACGCTTTTCTGTCTACAAAAAGATTTTCCTGAATGAGAAATTCTCATTTCCTCTTTCAGTAAAGATAAAAAATTAAGAAATATTTAAAAATTTTTAAAAATGTTAACTGTGCACAGAAAAAGTTTTTATGATTACAAAACTATCCATAAACTGGTACAAAATTACCATTTGTTTTATTTGCATTGTTTTTATAAAATTAAAGAAAAAATTTACAGAAATTTGATTCCTAATTTCCTACCCACAAATAACTTAAAATGTATGAAAACATTGCTATTGAAAAGTTATTACTAGGGCCAGGGAAATGGCTCAGTGGAATAAGTGCTTTCCTGGAAAAGTTATTACTTCTCCTCTGTCACACACTCATTTCAAATTTTCGTAATTCCTAATTGCTAAGATAAAAGTGACTTAAGACAAATAGATCAGAATATACTTACCAAATCTTTTTCAATTATAGCATGCATTTCTATGTACTGAGAGAACTCTGATGGCTGAAAAGAATCAGAAATTGAGAGAACACTTACTACGTGTATTTTTATTGTAGCTCTTCTTGTTTTATATCGGTATTTTAACCCTTTGAAAGTTAAAAACCACCTCCTATTACACTGTGTTAACTAATGGAATGGTGTATTAAAAAAAGGAGCAATTTTCAATAGATATCAGAAAGATGGAGGTTATAATGACTTAAAAGGGGAAAAAAGTTGGGAAAAGTCAGGCAGACAAATTTAGAGCTTATTGATTACTCATTTCACCTGGCTTTAAAATTATTTTTCCTGACTCAAATCTTAGAAATGTAGGATTTTGATTTTTAAGGACAGATGAAATCCTTGTGTGTATGTGTGTGTGTGTGTGTGTGTGTGTGTGTGTATGTGTATTAGTGTTTCTATAAAATATTAAATACACAATGCTTTCTTCATGCCTTAAACAGGAAAGCTAAGTTTTTTGCTTGTAAAATTCCATCATTTCACTAGATTCCCTAAACAAGAGTACACTGTTTAATTTAAAATACTGCGGCCATGGGCTGGTGAGATGGCTCAGTGGTCTAAAGCACCTACTTAGAACAAGCTAAGCTCAAGCAAAGCACAGGGACCTCGGTTCAATCCCCCAGCACCACATGCCAGGCCGCCCGCCCCCTGGTGGGCTGAGCTGGCCACACACTAAATAAATAAATAAATAAATAAATAAATATTTAAAAATAAAATAAAATACTGAGGCCATATTAATGGATTAGAGTATATAAAATATTTCTTTTCTTTAGCCAACACTAAGAAGTAGCTGTCTAACATTGTCCTAAGAAGTCTTTGTCCATTTTCAAATTTCAGATAAACTGTAGTAATATTTAGTTTAATCTTATTTATTTATTTATTTACTGAAAGCATATTTGTGTGCAGAAAACTAAGAAGTTCACTTTGTCTAAGTAAATAAAAATTAAATGTAAGAGCATAAGCGAATGCTAGATTCTGGCAAGTTAGGCAGGTTTCAGGGTTCAAAACACTTCAAGAGCCGTTTCCTTTAGTAAGAGAAGGTAGTCATAGAAGACATGAGAACTCTTACATATGTGATATATGAAGTTGTCTCCACCTGAAGGGTGGTAGTTAAAATAAATGCTGAAGAATTAGATACTGGCAAACAGGCTGAGAACATGCTACTGCATGGCTGAGACAAAATATCTGACACTCAGAGTTGGAGGAAAGGTTTATTTGGCTCACAGTTTGTAAAGGTTTCAGTTGGCTGGCTGCTAGGTAGGGTGGCATGGCGGAGAAGCATGGCAGAGGGGCATCACAGAAGAGGAACAATCCACAGCAACCAGACAGGGGAAGCACAGGAGTCCTCTTTCTGTCCCTTATATTTTATGTAGGCTACCTGCCCTAGGGAGGCTGTAGCACTCACACCGTTAATGCTAGGCAGAACTCTGCCAGCCCAATCAGTGGACCAGTTGGATAATCACATCCTTCAATCCCAGCACCACACACTATAGATCTAGCCACCTCTGAAAAGCAACCCCCTCCATGACTGCATCAAGCTTTGAGAGGACACTGGGACACAAGCTGTTACTGATGTGAGTGTTCTGGGCCTGGGAATGAACATGAAGATAAATAGATGGGGGGAGGGGAGAGAGAGAGAGAGACAGAGAGAGAGACAGAGAGAGAGAGACAGAGAGACAGAGAGACAGAGACAGAGAGACAGAGACAGACAGAGACAGACAGAGAGACAGAGAGACAGAGAGAGACAGAGAGACAGAGAGAGAGACAGAGAGACAGAGACAGAGAGACAGAGACAGAGACAGACAGAGAGACAGAGACACATAGAGACAGACAGAGAGACAGAGACAGAGAGATGGAATGTAGTATGTGTATCTGCATTTTTCATTTTCGGCAACTGATGTGAGATCAATAACTCAGTATTGGAATGGGAGTAGAAGATCTGTAAGCTTATGTAAGACCATGGAAAAAATGTGTGGTTAGACGAACAGACTAACAAACTAACAGCAGAAATAATAGTATTTAAAATGCAAATGTGTAAAGAAAAGTAAGAGTAAATACAGAAAAGAGGATTTTCACAAGTAGCTGACTTAGCAGCGGGTTACCACTGATTACAGTCTTTTTGGAAAAGCCATAAGACAGCTTCCCTTTTTGTAATAATAAGCTTGTTAAATGAGAGAAAGGAGAATTGTGAATATATAGCTCAGAAATAATACTGTATTTTGTTTATTTGTATTTTTATTGTGGAGGAGTCAGATATTTTCATAGAATGATATTTCAAAATGTTGGAAAGAATAAAGTAATGGGTAAGACTCTGGTGCCATTCTATTTAGAATTAAAGGAGTATAACTCAAAGTGAGAGAATGTAACATTCAAATTTAGGAATTATATTTTTAGCAGTGGGACTGGTTGAGGATGCAAAGGCAGGCAAATAAAATGAAATAGAAGGTCTCAGAAATGTAGAGCTACCGATGAGATGGAAAATAATTGAGAAGCATTACAGAGCTAAGTGATGATAAACATAGTATACCTGAACTAAAATGAAATACATAAGTGGGAAAAGTCATAAAAGACCCCATATTCTATAATTCAATTTACATAAAATATTATGAAAGTGGAAGATGGGGAGGGTGGGTGAAAATATACAAAGTCCCTTTGTAGGCCTCTGCTAAACCATTTGCCTTTCAAATTACAATATATAAATATATATATATGAATCTATTTTAACAAACCTTTATTCAGTAAGCGGTCTGTGGATCAGATTCGGCAAGTACCACAGTTTGTCAATGATATTCACCACTAACATTACTATATTGTGAGAATATATTTCATATTTATATTATATTTATGCAATATATAGATACAAATGGCATAAAACTATTATTTAAAAGATCTTTAGGAGAGGAAAAGAAAAAAAATGTATATATATATATATATATTATTTTTTTATTTATTTATTTTCAGTACCAGGGATTGAACTCAGGACCCTGTGCTCGCCAGGCAGGCGCTTATTCTGCTGAGCTATCTCCCCAGCCCAAGAAAATAAAATATTTTAATAAAAATAATATAAAGAGAAAAGAATAAATGAGGAAGGATCACATAAGACAAAAAAATGACATGGGGGTAGGTTCAATCTATACTATATCATATGTTGCATTAAAATGAATGAAGTAAAGGACCTATTTCAGGGGACAAAAATGGTCAGATCTAATTTACCATTAAAAATAACCACAACATGCTACTGTAAAGAGTCACACTTTACTGGAAACATGTTTAGCTAATCTGACCACAAAGTTGAAGATATTGAAATTAATAAAATAAAAAGTGAGAGAACGTGACCAATAATACAGAAATGTCAGGCACTGCAGGCAAGCCCACCCAGCTAGCTGCAGGTCTGTTAGTTCATCACCCCTGCTGCACGTGTCCACTTAGAAGTCTGGGTGCGTGGGGGGGGAGGGAAGTGAATAACTTGCTTCCCAGAAGACTCGTACACTGCCGCATGTCTATTGCGGTAAGATGACAACCTCGCCGTCCACACACTTACCTTTACACTTTTTATTTTATAGGTCACATTTTTTAAGCTAGTGTCTTTCTCAGCGTAGAGTAGAACACTTTTATTCTCATGTTTTACTTGATAAAGCAAGTGTTCAAAACCAAGAGAAGACTCCAGAGGTTCGATTCCATAGCTGATATTGTCAAACTGCAGTAAGCCCCTACAGATGCCAAAAAGAAGGTGTATAAATAAATGAATACATTTTTAAGCCAATGAGATGCCATTTAACTTTCACTGGTATGCACATTCTTATTAGCCCTAGTCTTAGGAGGTGAAATAAGAACGTTACTGTGGACCTTTTTCAAGCTCACTGGCTAATGCACAATGCTAATGTGATGGGCATTTGTCAAGTTATTAATATCACATGGTCTCCAAATATGCAAATAATTTAGCATAAGGGGAGGAGCCATCATGAAAACTAATTTAATCTATTTTATAATCCATATACTCATGTACGACAACCTGAGTCCATTACAGGTGTTAATGATCGCCAAAGACTTTGGATAGCCTTCGATGTATCCTTGGTAGTAGCAAAAATTCTGAAACATAAAGACAAAATACATATAATATGTATTAGAACAGCTCGCGCTAAAGATAACTTTTCAGATACGTGAGACGGACGTTGTGCGTTCATCAAGTACTCCTCGTTCCCATCCCCAGTTCATAAAGCTGTTAGATGAGCACATGGCTCAATTTTCCCAAGTTCTTCCCACAGGTTCATACAGAATGAGAGTATTTTCACTAGGTGTAAATTAAGCATGGCTTTCCTGATCTCTAGAGCTTATGGAAAACAAGGATCAAAAGTTCACTTTTTTGTATTCTTCTGACTTAGTTGTGCATGAGAAGAGAAACAAAATGAATCCAAAAGAGAAATAATGTATTTTTTAAAACTAATTTGAGCCTGTTGTGGTGGCCCACGCTGGCAATCCTGGCCCTGGGGCAGCTGAGGCAGGAGGAGCGCTGCAAGTTTGAGGCTAACCTGGGTTAAGTAGTGAGATCAAGCCCAGCCTGAGCCAAACAACAAGACTCTGTCTCAAAATAACCATAACAAAAACAAAGCAACAATGACAACAAAAAATCTAATTTGAATGTGATAGTGGAGTAACTTGTACAAACTTAACTCTCTCACAGTTATAAATGCTGGACAATTTTTGTAAACTTCAGTTACCAAGCCAGGCAGAGTGAGAACGGAGGATGCAAACCCTGGCCGCCGCGGAAGACCCTGGCCTTGCTGGGCGATTCAGTACGCAGGGTTGAGGCGAAAGGGGCTCCCCGGCCGGCAGCATGCGTGGAGCTAAGGCCCGGGCAGGAAACACTGCTCACACTCAGGGACCGCGGCCTCAGTTTCAGAAGTGCAGGAAGCTGAGGACGGTGCCCAGGGCAGGAGGTGGTACCAAGGGCACAGGGTTACTTGGGTGTGACTTCTGTACCCATGTTTGCACTGGGAATGTGGGAACCACATCACTTAGCAGAAGCCTGCGGCAGCTAAGAAGTGAGGGGAGTCTACCCAGGCCCAGACGCCGGGAGAACGCTTAGGAGCCGGCTGCAGCCCAGCACTGCTGGCTATTTCCCTAAAAACTCCTCAGAGAAGCTTCACAGACACTGCCCTGGAGCCTTGAGTGTGGCTCGTGTGTGATGGAGAGTACGTTAGCTGCTCCAGCAGCTGAGGCAGGAGATTCGAAGGTTCAAGGCCAGCCGAGCCAGCACAGAGATTTAGTGAAAGCTTGTCTCAAAAGGAAAAGTGAAATGGGCGTAGGGATGCAGCTCCGTGGGCGTGCCTCCAGGGTCCATCAAATAAATATATGTTAGGTATTTTTAATAAAAGACGACGTAGCCTATGCTTTCAAGAAAATTCAGAAAGACATTGATCTAAAATAATCTAAGGCTTTGGAATTAGTTTTAAAAAATGACTTTAAAAACATGCTGCCATGCTGGCCCTGCCCCCGGGGGCTATCTGAGGCATCAGGTGAGACTGAGCGTGGTGGCAGGCGCCTCCAATCCCAGCTCTTGGGAGGCTGTAAATAGGCGGGTCACTATGAGTCTGATCTAGTAGTGAGACTCTGAACACCCGACGGACCCTTCCCTAAAAAATATAAACAAAAACAAAAGAACAGATGCTGGGCCGGCGAGATTGCTCAGTGCACTACAAACATCTCAAGGTCTGGCTAAGCTACGTAAGGAGACCCTGCTTCAAAAAGCAAAAACCAAAACAAAACAAAGAATGAGCACAGAGATAGTGAGACTCTGTAGCAAAAATCTAAAAACAGAGAACAAACAGAGTTGGTTGTGGTGACACATGCCTGTAATCTTAGCACTCAGCGAGTCTGAGGCAGGAGGATTGCAAGTTGAGGCCTGCCAGCCTGGGCAATTTAGCAAGACCCTTACTCTAAGTAACTAAATAATAGATAGTTAGCTAGGTAATTAGCTAGCTAGCGAGCTAGCTAGCTATCCCTGTTTCAGTCCCTTGCACTGGCTGGTGAGGGGGACACCGGTCATTGCTTCTGGGGCAGAAGGTGCTGGACAGCCATGGTTGAAGAGACGCAGAAGACAAACATGAAAAGCCGCAGCAAGCTGGAGCCACAAGGAAAACTGAAAAAGCGGCAGAAAAACCCAGGAAGGCCAAGATGGAGCATTTCCAATGGTGCACGGGAAAGTTCCAGTCCCAGTGCTAAGAAGCCGACAGCAGAAAAGGAGGCTGGACCTCTAAGAAAGCCTCCAAAGCTGTTGGGGTTTGCATTTGCCACGGGGAGAGGACAAAGAAAGCTCTGGCCCGTGCACTGATCTTTGGTCAAGGGCGCTCCTAGGTACTGTTCTGTCTCTGGATCTAGAGCCAATTTTAGTGCAGAAGGCTTGAGCCAAGAGGAAGACCGTGAACGAGAAATGAAGCTGAGTGAGGATGCAGACACCCGACCAGAAGGGCTGCGCCCACAGCAGACTCTCCGTCTCCCAGTAAGAGAAAGCCCAGGCCTGCTGACAGCCAGAGCCCAGAGGAACGAAATATAAGGTGCACAGCCTCCATTCCTGGCTCAGAGCTGCTGCCTGTTGGTGGGAGAGGCAGGCTGTAAGACAAGAGAGTGCGTGATACTTCCGCAATGGACAGCTTCATTCTCAAGAAGGCAGAGAGGTGAAAACCTCAAAACACTCTAAAATGGTGCTGGTTGTGCTGGGGACCATTGGCAGGAGCTTCATTGATTCCTTGAATATACAGACCCTCCCGAGCAGGCAAGTGGATGGAAGAAGCCCTCTCAGGGGCAAAACAAACAGCAACCACAGGACAGCAGAACTGGCAGCCCAGTTTGATCACTGAGACCCTAGAGCAAGCCGTGCCCAGGCACTACAGCACTCAGCCCACAGGTAGCAGAGCTTGACAGCGACCTGAGGCCAGACATAGGACAAAGGGAGCACACCAAACCCCTTGACCCCAGGGAACTTGAGAGTGGGCCCTACTGTACCTCCCTGGGAAGTGACAACAGAGAATTGGCACCCTGTGTTGGGAGGGTAGGGTTGTACAAATATCACTAAAATAATCTCCCTTACTAAACAAGTCAGCAGCTATTGCTTCTACACCCCAGGATTGCAGGCAGTACTCAGGTTGGCTATGTTATCTAAAATGTCCAATTTAGGGCCGGGGAGATAGCTCAGTAGAAGAAGTGCTTGCCCGGCAAGCGCAGGGTCCTGAGTTCAATCCCCAGTACTGCAAAAATAAAAAAATGAATAAAAAAAATTAAAAAAATAAAATGTCCGATTTGTAACACAAACTACAAGACAAGCAAGAAACAGGAAAGGCTGACCTGTGATTGATAACAACAATAACAAAAATCAGGTAACAGAAACTCCCCATATGCTATATTTGTGTCCCTTAAAAGTAGTCACTGTGGTGGTCTGCTGACTGATTTGTTTTTGAATAGAGGTCTTTATTTTCAAAGAAAATATGATTTATGGATGCATATCATTTGTGAAACTTCTAAGCAAAACAATTTAATAAATTTACCTATTTTTACCTAATGTAATGAATTTGAATTTATTGTTCCTTGATTAGAATTACATCTGTGGCAGTGGCAAAAACATAATTTATCTACATGACACCATCTATTCATTACATTTGAGATTAACATTCAACAATTTACCATTTTTTGTGGGGTTTTTTTGTATTTTAGGGAAGGGTCTACAGGATGTTCAGGGTTTCACTACCAGATCAGAATAGAAGTGATCTGCCCATTTACAGCTTCCCAATAGCTGGGATTACAGGCGCGCGCCACCACACCCAGTCTTGATTGCCATCTCAGCACGCCCCAGGGGTGGGGCCGGCCCAGCAGGCCTGGGGATCGAAACCCCAGCCCCTGTGCCTGCTTGCAGGTGCTCTAATCTGCTGAGCTATTTAGCCGGCCCTGAACTTACCATATTCAGTGATTAATAGAACACTTTCGGCTTGGTCTTTTTAGCTACACTTCTCTTTTTCTCATGGTTACCTCCTGGGAGTTAAGTTTGGCAGTACGATATAAAATTTAAGTATGGGATTGTCTTAGTTACTTTTCTTGTCACTGAGACAAAATACCCTACAGCCATAAGTTAAAGGGGGAAAGGCTTATTTTAGCTCCCAGTCTGTAGAGTTTTCTGTCCATAGTTGGTTGGCTCCAAGACAGAGCAGACTAGCAGAGGGGCGTCATAGAGGAGAGATAGTCCATGGATGGCAGGCAGAAAGCAGGGAGCGGTCAGCAATTAGCAGCCAGCAGCCAGCCCTCAGCCTGCGGCAGCCTGCGCTTCTAACCTAAGTGGCCAGAGCTGCAGCATGGCTGAGGGGGGCCAGCCCTCAGCCTGCGGCCACCCCCCCCCCTTCCGTTCTATCCAGGCTACCAGCATTTAGGGAGGTGTCACCTAAAATATGCTAATTCTAATCACTGGACTAATTTAGTACCACACACCCTTAATCCCAGGATCACACACCCTAGTTCCAGCCAGATCCCCAAATCCCCACCTGTAAGTACATAAGGCTTTGGGGGACCATCGAGGTATGCGCCCCCACGGAGATATCATGGCTCTGGGTCTTTCCATATCCTCTCTTCCCCATATTCCTATAAACATACATATTTATGTGCATAGTACATTATTTAACAGTAGGTATTATGTATCTTCATTGACTCAGATGTAGCTGATCTTTCAGACAGAATTTAAAATAAGTACTATGTCTATTATTTCCTCTGTGAAAATCTTTGCCTGTGTAAATGATTAATTCACAATATAGAAATTGGTAATACAAATGGAAAAGAAAAAAATAGCAATTATTGTGGCAGGGCAAAGGCAGGATAATTCCTGGCAACTCTATCCACATTTCCAGATTCTTTTTGCCAAAAAAATTACAGGCATTAGTAAGTGAAGGTCTCGGTGTTCCAAGTACAGCATACGAAAATTTAATATAGTACCAAGTGTTCCTCCAACGTTATGTGTACTTATTTGATCCCCGGGTATATTTTAAGGGGCACTTTAGATTGTTCTTTTCTTTTCAAAGTTAGGTTCCCTAATTCAAATCATAATTCTTTTCTGCGAGTACTTTACATTGTATTCAAACCCTAGGAAGGCTCGAAGGAAACTGCCGCAGGGACAAGAGCACATCTACCACAACGTCCCGAAACAAGTAATCCGGAAACATAACCATCATCTCTGGTTCGGCAGGCATGTGTTTAACAGGGCTGAGTATACATCCTGAAAGGAAACGATAACATGTGTATTGAAACAAAAGCTGACCGTAACCCTTCTACTCCAGAACAGTGAACTCTAAGTAATATAGCATGAAAACTCATTTCATAAAAACAGGCCACGATCTGGAACACAGACACAAGACATACCTTAATCTGTTGATCGAGAGGTTTCATAATTCCTGCATTATCATATCCATAAACTTTAAAATAATGAGGTAAAAATATTCTGTAAAGATAAAGGTTAAAAATTTAATGGGAAAATTGCTTTCTGAAGTTGGATTTTGGAAAAGAGACTTACTAGATTTACTATGGATAGGTAGGCTGGCAGGAAAAAAGATTTTTCAGCATAGAGCTTTCACCTCCTTGCTAAATTTCCCCAAATGGCCAAGGAATCTTGAGCAGAAAGGACACAGCAGACGGGCAGACTGCTTGATGTCAAGGCCACCATACGGAAAGCAGGTACGGCTTTGGTGCTGCTGCCAACGCAAAGACAGATAAGTAGCCCAGTGGGACAGGACACAGACCAGAGACACAGGACCGTGCATCATTTACGGTCAGCTGACATTTTATGTATTTTAATTTTTTTTTTTTTTTTGCGGAACCAGGGATTGAACTCAGGCCCTTGCTCTTGCCAGGGAAGCACTTATTCCACTGAGCCAACTCCCTGGCCCTCAGCTGACATTTTAGAAAGGTGTCAAGACCACGTAATGGAGAAAGAAAAAAATCTCTTCAAAAAATTTGATTTGGAAAGCTGGGTGTCCCCATGCACAAGAATAAAACCGGACCTCTGTCTCACATCAATGTGAAAATCAGCTGAAATGGATTCAAGACTTAAATGTAAGATTTGAAACTATAAACCTACTAGAAGAATGCAGTCTGGAACACTTTCCTAGTGAGTGTGGGCAATTATTTTTTTTAATATAAGCACCGCAAAGCACAAATAATGAAAGCAAAAGTGGACAAGTGGGATAAAAACATTTTGCACAGAAGAACGGCATAAGAGACAAGCTACATGCGTGGAAGAAAAACCACAAAATGATTGATAAAGGGATAATATTTAATTTTTAAAAATACATGAGGAATTGGGCAGCAAGAAAAAATAATTTTAAAAAGTAAAGATAGTGTGAATAAATATTTCTCAAAAGAGTTCATAGAAAAAGCCAATGAGGTCCGGCCAAATAGCTCCGCGGATTAAAGGGTGCCTGCAAGCAAGTGGGGGGTTGGGGGGGAGTGTGTGCGTGGTCGGAGAGTAGGGGGTGGGGTGGGTGTTGAGCCTCAGGCCTGCCGTGCAGGCCCGGCCCCTGCCCCCGCCCCGCCCCCTGGTGCATGGGTGGTGCGTGCCTGTAATCCCATCTCTTGGGAGGTTGTAAACAGGCAGATCGCTACAAATCCGATCTAGCAGGGAGGCCCTGAACACCCTGTAGACCCTTCCCTAAAATTAAAAAAAAACAAAAGAAAAAGCCAACAAGTATGTTTGTAAATTGCTCACTGTTCCCTGGCTATCAGGAAAATGTAAATCAAAACGATAATAAGTAAAAGAGCCCCGGTATAGTTTTAGCAGGAACGTAAATTAGTACAGCCATTATGGAAATCAGTAGGGAAGTGCCTGAAAAATTAAAACAGAATTATTTATTCCAACAGTCTCACTTGTGTATAAATATCTGCAGGAGAGGAAATCAGTATGCTGAAGAGACATCTGCGTTCCAAGTTCACTGAAGTAGGATTATAATAGTCAAGACATAAATCAAGCTAATTGTCTATCAATGGATGAATGAATAAAGAATGTGGGGGAAACACACACACACACACACACACACACACACACACACACACACCACCACATGTTATATGCAATTAAGTAAATTATTATAGGCAGTCAGATAAGGGTAGACCCCCAAAATAGCCAGTGCAGAAGATGAGATACCTTGCAGCTGTGGGAGAAGGATTTTTTTTTTTTTGGTTGGCTCAGGCTGCCTTAAGGGTGGGTCTGGGGATCCAGCTGGTATCCTGGGCCTGACTGCATTTGCACAAGCAGGCACTTAAACAGCTGAGCTAACTGGCGGCCCCCAGCAACTGTGGAGAGAGACGGTCACCTCTGATGCGGGCCAGACCTCAAGACGAAAGATGAAATAAAGGCACCCATATACATCTCTAAGGATAAACATCAGGAAGTGATAGTCCAAACAGGTCTCTATCACCTTGAGAAAGCCAGGAAGACTCACTAAGCCAACTCCCTACAGGAAAGGCCCCTGTTCTGTATTCATTCTTGCTTGCTCTGTGACTCTCTTCCCCATTTGATCTCGATTTAATCAATTTTACCTGGCTAATTATACTTGTAATCTTATTGGCTGAACATAGTTTTGTCCCACCACATGGCCACCTTGTGATTTTCCATTTTCTCTACCTTGGACTCACCTCATGTCATGGATTTGCTCCACAAAAGTCCCTAGAAAAGGCAGGGTCCTTGGCAAGCCACTTGGGACCCCTTCTGTCTCAATTTCCGACAGAAGCTCTCTTTCCCTCACTAAGTATATTCTGCTTTTAACCTCCTTTGTTTCCAAAATTCATTCTTCGATTTTAAAGTGCACAACATTTGTACTGGACACCTAGTAGTTTGGGGGTTTCTTTCCCTGATATCAACAGTGGAATGTTATTAAGCCTTAACAAGAAAATCCTAGAGCTCTTGAAAACACAGCTCTGTCTTGCAGACATTCCATTACATCAAGTGAACCAAGCCAGACCAGAGAATTATTATGCAACCTCACTTATCAGCGGGTTCGAAAAGCCCCAAATTCATAGAAGCAGAGAGGAGAAAGGTAGTCGCTAGGGCCTGGCCATGAGGAGGGAGAATGAGGAGAGGATGTTTGAAAAGTACAGTTTCAGTAAAGATGAACAAGTTCTGAATATCGTACGGCACTGTGACTGTAGCTTACAGTATCGAAGATTGCAAAGGGGTCAGATCCTAAACATTACGGCGTTTGAGATGGTGGATGTGTTCATTTGCCTGTTTTGGAGAAAAATATTAAGATAAAAGTTGTCCCTCAGACAAAGGACTGATGTTCAGACCAACAGAATCGAGGCTGGGGATATAGCTCAGTGGTACAAGAGCGGCCCGGCAAGTGCAAGGCCCTGAGTTCAGTTTCCTGTACCTCTCCCCCAAAAAGAATTGAAAAAAATCAGACCCCCAAAATTTAAAGACCCAATTCATAACTGGCATCAGAAAAATACACACTTCTCCGATGGAGAAATGCAAGCAGCAATTAAATATACATTTAAAAAAGTTCAACACTAATCATTTGATTTTTTTTTTTTTTTTTTTTTTTTTTTTTGTCTTTTGTGCACGGTCTCACTATACAGCCCAGACTAGTAGGGATCCTCCTGTTTTTAAGCCTCCCAACACTGGGATTGCAGGCATGTACCACCATGCTGGGACTGGATCGCTGGTTCAGCATGCCTGGGGACAGGGCCATCATGGCATATGGTGCCAGGGATTGAACCCTGGTTCCTGTGCTTGCCTAAGCAGGTGCTTAGTCCACTGAGTTATCTCGCTGGCCCTACCACTGATCATTTGAGAGATGCAAATTAAAACAACACTGAAATTCCATCTCAGTGCAAAAAGAATTGTTATCATCAAGAAATCAGTAAATAACAGATGCTGGAGGGGTTGTTGGGATAAAGGAACACTTTTCCACTGTTGGTGGGAATGTAGACTGTGGAAATTAGAGTGAAGATTCCTCATAAACTAGGATTAGAGGTCCCATTTGACCAGCTCTTTCCCTTTTGGATATCTTTCCGGGGTTCAAGAATTACAACCATACCAAAGCAATTCATGCACACCCATGTTTATAGCAGCACAGTTTGTAATAGCTAAATCTTGGAAACAATCCCAAAGCCAATTAAATGAGGAGCAGGCAAAAATGATTTTTAATACAATGAAGTACTACTCAGCCATAAAGAAGCATATACTCAGGACATTTCTAGGTAAATGGATGCAACATGAGACCATACTGTTAAGTGAACTAAATCAGACATACATGTATAAATATCATATTGTCTCCCTGGTATGAGAAACTGAAAGAGAAAAGAAGGACCAAAATTTACAATAGATATTGTGAAATAGGAAAAAACTGTTCAAAAGGAAAGAGGAAGTAGGGTGGGGAAAAGAAGGAAGAGAAAAGAAAAAAAATGATAGGGCCAGCAAGATAGCTCAGCAGACTGAGTGCTGCTTAGGCAAGCACAGGGACCGGGGTTCAATTCCCTGCACCACATACCGCGCCAGGCTGAGCTGGCCACAAAGAAAGAGAGAAAGAAAGAAACAAACAAACAAAAACAAAACATGATAAAAAGGCAGAAGCCAGTGATTCAATGTTAAAAGTCTAAGGCTCAAACAGTTTCTAGTATTTGGTGGAAGTACTGTAGGAACTTGTTTTATGTTCAATAACTTCAAAGTCAGCATGCTAATATAGAGTATTAAAAGTAGGGTAGAAGAATATATCAGAAGAAGCTCACTGACATAAAACAAAAGACAACAGAAAAAGAGATTACAAGAACTACATGGAAATTCAAAGGACCAGGAGTAGATATTCTGGGCCAGGGATTTAGCGCAGTGTCACAGTACCTACCTGGCAAGTGTAATGTCCTCTGTACAATCCCCCCCCCAAAAAAAAAGAGTAGATTTTTTAATCAAGCAATAAAGCTGGCTAAAGAGATGTTGAAATCACAGTAATTAAGACTGTACGATGTCTGTATGGATAAATAGAAGAGTTTAAGAATAACTATATGAAAGAAATGGAAGAAAAAGGAGTCCAGGCAGACGATGTAAGCAGGTATAACTCTGTGTAAAAAGTTAATTTTTTTTAATAGAGGGAAACTCCATCCCACAGCACAAAAAAAACCCCTCCTTTCCTCAGCCTCAAAGAAGAGATGGGATATGCAACTGTGAGCCTCAATATTGGAGTGCCCCTCCCACCAATAAAGGGGAATGAAGGCCTGCCAAATAGCTCAGGGATTAAAGTGCCTGCAAACAAGCTGAGGGGCCGGGGGTTCAATCCCCAGGCCTGCCATGCTGGTCCTGGCCCCAGGGCGCGCTGAGATGGCAGTTGAGACTGGGTGTGGTGGCACGTGCCTGTAATCCCAGCACTTGGGAGTCTGTAAACAGGAGAATCACTATGAGTCTGATCTAGTAGTGAGACCCTGAACACCCTGTAGACCCTTTCCTAAAAATACAAAAAAAAAAAAAAAAAAAAAAAAAAAAAAAAAAAAAAAAAAAAAAAAAAAAAAAAAAAAAGAAAGAAAAGAAAAAGGAATGAACCAAAGATGACCAAGAGTAGTAATACAGATGTGGGGATTTGCAACCACATCTCCTGTGTGTTAGCTTTAAATAAATCCCTTTTTCCTTTGCGCCCAAGCAGAGGGCCTCCGTTGATATGGTTAATGGCAAGCAGACAAACCTGAGCCCTTGAGCCTAGCTGGCAGGTGGCACTTGATGTATTAAGGAAGTACCCTGAGCATTCGTGTGCTGTAAATTGAAGTGCTGAGTTCAGAACAGAAGAGCGTCTAGCAGAGATCTGCACATCAACGCAGATCTGCATGGGTAGGTGCAGTCAAAAACTTGCCATAAAATTAAATTGATAGCTAAAAAAGTATCCAAACAAGGTGCAATCAGCTTCCCAGCTAAACAGGACCAGATGATGTAAAGGAGGGGTCCTCTTCAAGCTGCTCTCCAGGGATGGAAAATGAGAGATGTACCAGAAAAGACCACTGCAAGGCTGTTTTGGAGCCCATCTGCAGTGGCCCCATGAGGATCCCCAGGGATGCCTCGAGCTGTGGCCACGACAGCATTGACACTCACTTACTAACTACAGATTCATATATTCTTCTTAGAGAAACCGTACCGCTGACAGTGTGGATCACCTTGTCTCCACCACACATCTTTTACCTGTTCATTCAGCCTGCTTTGGGGTCATTAACGAGCAGGATAGAAAAGACCTATCAGTCTTGGGTTTCCTGAGGAGGAGACGTGTCCCACACATCTCGGGTCATGCCCTCCAGGAAGCAGCATTTCTGGTGCAAGCATGAGACCTTTAATCTTACCCTGCACCTTCTCATCTCTGTGGCTACAATACCTCCTTTCTGTAAGAAATCCATATCACTATGCAACAAGTCCTTCATGAGTCCTTTCTGTGGACAATCTTGGGCCTTCATTATAATCACAATATAAGATACAAAAGAAAATATTAATTAATACAATCAACTAAACAATACAGAAAATATAACATATCAAGAATAGGATCATTCCTGAGCTAAAGCTTAGTTTAACATTAGAAAGATGACATCATAACAGGTTAATACAAAATATATGATCACCCATGCAGGCAGAAGTGTGCTAAGAAACTTGATATCCATGTCTCATGGATACAGGAAGACAAGAATAAGCAAAAGGATATTGTGACTTAGCAGTGCTCAATTGTTTGCATAGTGTCTATGGCTGCTTCAGAAACAGCAGTTAAGAAGCTGCAAGAGACCAAAGGGAGCTCCAAGTTGGTGATACCTAGATGGAGTTCAGTGTCTAAAACAGTTACTGTCCCTTTGCATTCAAAGGAATGATCCAAGACTCGAAAACGAAGAGTAGGCAGGCTGCAGCTGGCCGAGCGGGCAGGTGACGCGGTGGGATCAGGGCAGAACCTGAACCCAAATCGTGCCTTAACGCCCTCTGGTCCCTAGCGTGAAGACACATTATTGAAGTGCTCTTGTGAAAAGCACAAAGCTAGACATCTCCTCTGAAATGTGTCAACAAGAAAGAGAAAGTCAGTGTCTGCTGCTATCATCTGTGTGCGTCGCACCTGAGTTTGTGTGTTGAAAACTCATCCCCAGAGTGATGCTTTAGGAGACAGCATGCTTAGGACTTGAGGAGGTCCTGAGGGAGCACCCTCGTGAGGTCCACCAATGCCCCAATGAAGCAGACCCCAGGCAGCTGACCTCTCCTACCACGTGAAGGCACAGCAAGGACAGCCGTTCTGTGAGCCAGGAGGTGGGCTTTTGCCAAACAGCGAATCTGCTAGAGCCTTGATGTTGTGGGCTTCCTAGTCTGTGGAACCGCGGGAGGTACACCGCTAATGCTTTTAAGATGTCCACTGGATGGTATTTTGCTATAGCAGCCTGCAAAGATTGGGGCTCCTGCTGTGCATGGACCAAGGCCAGAAGGAAGATCCCCAGGCCTGACCATTTCTGACCATGAAAAAGAAGATCTTTATATATTTTATGCAGATATAAAATGAATCCCAAATAGACCCTTCATGGCTGAAACCTTGGGATCAAAACAAGTAAACACTGAGGCAACCTAGTGGGCCCAGGAGGCACCTAGACCCACTTTCAGAGAGGTCTGCACGTCCACAGAAGGACCAGGAAAGACCACGGCAGCAAACAATCCCAAAGCAGAGCTCACTGCTCGGGCTACGCACACTTGGGAAGTCCAGAGCCTGGGCCTTACCTAGGTAAGCAGCGAGGATTAAGTAAGGAATGGAAGTTTAAAAGGAAGAATAAAAAAGAAATGAATAGACTCCATAAAGTGTTCCCGGGGTGCCACTGAATGCACATTGCAGCCTCTTCTCTGATCTGAACTTGATGAATTATCCTTTTGGTCCCCAAAGTTAGTCATTTTTGACTCACTCAATCACATATATTTCTATATTCTTTGCCCTGTCTCATCATTCCCGACTTTGTATTTTATTCTGGGGTATGTCCTCAGATTTTAACCTTCATTTTGCCATTTGCCTATACAAGTATGTCTAGTTGATTCAGTATTATTCAAATGTAGAATTTCCATACAGATAGGCATCTTTTTAAGTTCCCAAGAAACCTCCAGAATTGAAGCAAGATTGTTAGTCTTGCAGATGGAAGAATTGTCTGGGGTCCTTAGAAATTTCAGACAGCTTGGTATGGTCTGCATTTTCCCCAAAATTTGTTAGCCAGAATGAGCATGAGTTTGGCTAGTTACAGTTGTTACCTAAACCCTCAACACACTGTGGCGCAGTATGTCTCCTAATTTTAAAAATTGTCATGATTCATGCCAAGAATCTACCATTATCTTCAAATAAATATATAGAAGGGAACTTGAAAACAAGTGAGACTTGTGTTTTCAGGTAGAAAACTATCAAAATTTGGGGGTACCAATGTGAAACCTCACTGGTATCCCCAAATAAATCTGAATGAGGAGGCTGTGATTGCTAGGTATTTGTTGTAATGATGTAAAATATCTTTTTAAAAGTACAAAATAATACAAAATGAGTCAGAAACACTTTATCATGTGGAATAATTACCTTCTGGATAATTTTAAGCATGAATAAATAGAGCCAAGATATTTTATAGAATAATGGTCACTTACTTTTGTACTAGGTTTACAGTATATGTTGTCCCATCGATTGTGATTTTGTAGGACACCTGGCAGAAAAATTCATTTAAAAAGCAAAGAGAGAAAGGAAATGTTGGAAACTGTTATTTAACATTAATAGTTGCATTGCAAATCACATTGATACCATAAGGAGAAAAATTCACAATTCAGTGCTGACTTATTTCAGTAGAATTTGACATTAAAATTTTGGTTTTCATAAAAAATAAATTTTT